AAATTAGTACTCTAAATTATCTACTGTGCAGTTGGTACCAGGGTAAGGGAGCAGCATGAAGGAGGCATTCCTTGATGTGTCATTACTGCAATTCTATCTCAGTAAGCAGATGAATGTCTCCCTTCCCTGTTTCTCATTACTGGCTGTATGATCAAGACAGCTGGACTGTGTGCAGTATCCTGCAGTATGTAAGTGTAGTTCTAGCTTATTCCAAAAGGGTTGGCAGAGGAAGCCTGAGGTATAAGGCTACCATTGTAGTATTGATCCATCTCTTAGGTGAGAAACAGAACCTCAAACAAGGCTTAAAGCAAGTTGTATGAAAATTTTCCTGAAGTAAAATCCTGTTAATCTGGAAGTGTTCTGGCCAACAGGCCAAGTGCCTGACTTAATGAGGCCATGATATAAACCAAATGATCTCTTAACCACTAATTGTGTTTCTAACTACCTATGGCCTAAACAGGACAGTTATACAAGATTTTTGGACTTAGGCTTGTAACACTGATCTAGGCTTCCCTGCTACCAAGAAATCAAAGGAGCAACGGAGTGGTGGACACATCACTAATCTAGACCTTACAGATAACAGGAATAACTGTTAACTTCATTTGCCAGGATAGGCAACATCCTTTTCTGTTTTCTGTCTTACAAGATTAACCACAGGGTCTTAGGTTAGACTTAGCAGTGTAAGAGCTTGTATTCAGTCATCCTTCTGGGAAATGATGCTTTTCTTGTATTTCAGACATGGCACAAACTGGAGGGGAACAGTTCCCAACCTGTCTATGAACTTTCACCACTTGTCTTTAAGCAGGTACTTCTTATGTAGAAGTGTGATCGACATACATCAGGTGTAACCTACTTGTAGGTAAGGCTGGTATCTTTCATGTGTATTAGTCACTGGCTATGCTAGTTCCAAACAGACAAATTTGATTGCTTTAGCAGAGGAAACAAGAGGTGCTTGCATCAGAACAAGCAGCTGGAATATTCAATCTAAATCATAGTAATCTTGTGGCATGTTACACAAGGTTTATTCAACTTGAACTCTTAGGCACTGTCAGATGCTAAAGCAATGGGTGTTCTAGTAATGAAACAAAACCCTTAAGATGACGTTTTGACTCCTTAGCATGAATGATCCTGTGTAAAAGGCAAGAGTCTGGCACATTCATGTTTCTGCTTCATTAATGCATGCCTAGTGCCTCTCAATGCTACTTGGGGCGCTACCATTGCAGCAGGATCTAGGCAGCAAATGTGACAGTCAGTTATGCACGTAGGGATAACTTGTTGGATCCAAGTAAAGTCAGTCATACAGAGACTCACACAAATGCTATATTCTGCTTCTAATGTGGGTAGAATGGGGCTAGTCAAGGTAGTCCATTTTTAGTAAAGGCATCTGACTCTGTCTTTGACTCTTGTTAGTCACTGTATGTATTGCTGTTTAGCCTTTAGTATATATTGCTCAGCCTATAAAACCCAGGTCTTGGATTCATTCAAGTGGATAGCTTGTTTACCAGCATTCTGAAACAGCTGTTCTCTCAAGAACTTGGTGCATAGAGATATTTCTAAGGATAATTTGTGCAGGTCCTGAAACAACCTTCTAACCAGAAGAACTTGATTAACCCATCGAAGTCACAGGGGATGGAACAACTTGCCTTAGGAGAATGTTCAGCTCTTGAACTATTGCTGTGCTTCCGGTTACTGCTTCATCCTAACAGGCTAAATTGTACTTGGCAGTAAAACCTTCTCGTGTCCTCTCCTGGCCTCTCAGATTCTCATTTGAGGTTAATATTTACATGCAATAGCTCTTCAAGCCAAATCATGTACTTGCAATATCAAGGGACAAAGAAGGAGCATAGGCTGTGAAAAGGACAAAGTATTAGACTGCTGAGCAGCTGTTTAGCTTATCTACCTTGCCTCGGACTTTTTCAGTGTCCCTAACCTCTTCTCAGACAAGATTTCATCAACACTGGGGTAATTACCTTTGTCTGCTGAGGGGAAAAAACCCTGTCTGTAGGATGAGGATTATTGTGCATTCTTTAAATCCCATGACAGACTACAGACAAGAGGAAGATTCTCAATCCCCTGCGCACTGGACAAAAGTCAAATCACTAAGGGTAACTACCATGTTACCAAGGTAGGGGTAGCCACCCCTTGCTCAAAAGATAATTGTGAAAGCCTTTCTTAAGGGCAACTATATGTTGCTCAACAAAATTGTTTGGCTTCAAGTCTGGCTAAAAGAACAGGTATTTCAAGGATGACTTCTCAATACCAACAGCTGTCCTTGTAGGGAGGTCAGAGAAGACACAAAGGGCATGGTGTGCCCAAAGTCTTAATACTATCTTTCCAGGAAAGAGTCACTCAAGAGTCAGCTGACATAGCTGCTGTGGGAATGATCTTGTGCTACACTATGGCAGTATAACTGAAGGCATGACTGTCCTTGCATAAAAGCACATCCATCTCTAACCTGGCCATACTTGCTGGATGGCTTTTTTCAGATGAACTTGAAATTCAAGTGTAATAGAACACTCCTAGTCTCCTGATGCCTGACACCTGCAGTCTGAGTAAGGACACACTGAGGGACTGAGTACTGTGAAAGGAAGCCTCTGAGCAAGAACTAAACCCAGAAGATTTTAACTTCATTTTAGTTACTTGCATGTAGAGCGCACTAGCACTTTCCAATAAGATAAATCAAACTTCAGTGTGACAAAGACCTTGCAGAGCTTTAACTTGGGTCTAAAGCATAGAATCCATATGTAGTTGTGACTACGTAGATTCTTGTACCCCAAGCAGACTAAATTACTGCTAGCTCAAGCTATATAATGTTTCTTCCTACCCCAGTGAAATTTTAAGGTAAGGCAGAACTCAGTGCCTCAAGGTTGCTATTTCTTCTTTCTAGCATGGAGCTAGGCAGAATGTCCTAAGCTATGACTTGGCTCCTAGAGACCATGTCTTAGCTCTGTTCTTCTCCAGGTCTTTTCCTTCTACTCTTTAAACAGTAACCTTCCAGATGGGGGTGAGTGGTTAATTAGCAATGCAACCTTAGCTCTGTCTTTCCTTCCTCTACTCCTCAAGGACTTCATAAATCTAGGGGGAGGCTCATGCTGAAGTCAGACTATCTCCACTCTAAATCATACAATCAGGCAGGCTCGTCTAGTTTTGGAGCTGAAATCACTTGGCTTCATTTTACCTGCTTAATGTGTGATTTTTTTCAATGGGCACACTTCTCTTCAGCAGTGGTGCAAGTATCCTGTGAAATCCCTGCTGGTTGTAATACTTTTCCCTTTGCTCCTTCGTTAGAATGGGTGCACAAGCCAGTCTTCCAGTGATAACATTTCCTAAATAACCATGGTTTGCTATATCAACTTTTCCTCTAACATCTCTTCTACTTAGAACTTGAAATTTTCACAGCAACACCTTTGTACCCTTACATCAAATGTTCCCTAGCTGTGGCTGGTAAGTTGCTTGCAGAGAATGGGTATAGTTTCCAGAGATCTTTCCCATATGAGCACTTTCATCTCTGATTTACTTGAGCAATGCTAAATGCAATGCACAAACCATCTGGTAAGCAGCTAGATCTAACTTTGTGTATATTAACAGTTAGTTCCCTAAAGGCCTTCCTCCTGGCTAAATGAAAATGGGGGTCTTTTGGGGGAAATTCTCTTTTAAAGACCAAGGCATTTGAGTTCTTTCTAAGGTTAAGAATCAGTCAAGCATTGACATCCATTACTGTTAGTGGCAAACTGGATGAGTCTGTACCTATTGACTCAGTAATGAATTGTGGGAAGAGAGGAAGGCAGGAGCGAGAGCGAAGACCTGAAAGCAACTTCCAAGTAATTGATCAAGTGTTAGCTGTAACAAAGACAAATGAGGAATAGGCTATTGAGAACTACAGCTCCCAATGACAGGATATGCAATGCTTTACCACATGTATCTGAGTGCATAGTATGTCTCAAATGGTGTGCTGGGTAAAAGGGGTGTCTTGGTTTGTAGCTGCTTGCCTGGATGTTGAGGAAGGTACTACTAAATTAAGTAGCTGGGCTACACTCATCTAAACAATCTCTTGGCTTCCTCTGTCACTGTAAAAAAAAAAAAAAATCAAGAAACTGATTGAATCCAGTGCAATACCCCAGGCAGAAGATTCATAGAATAGTTTCTGTAACAGGTGTGAATGTTCACTTCTTTCTGCCTGGGTGTAGATCACCTTTACAACTTCATAAGGACAATATGAGACCCTCTATTTGGTAAGTGTGGTATCAAT